CATTAAATTGGAGATTTCAACAAAAAACCTCGCAAATATAAGAGCAACTGAAGAAACCCACATATTCAAGTCCTGTAATTCTATGATCCTGGTCACTTTTATGACAGCACTGCCTCACCCACGCCCTCCCGTGGGTCTTCCCACACACCTATCAGCTACCACTCAAACACATCCACCTCCAATCCTGCTATTCTGAGAGGTATCGCTCAGACAGACAGACAGCCACGTTTACTATGGCTCCACTTGTTGACAAATCAAAACACTCTGTATCCAACATCCTGGAAGTTCTTTGTGGATTATAGAGCTTCGGTGCTGGGCCAGGATACATTTCCAGAGCCGCGTCCTCTGGAAAATCCTCCGTGGAATCTGGCCGAGGTGATGGATAAGAATAACCGAACAGCTACAGCGGCGGTCCAGCCTCATACCTGACCATTAACTCAATTAACACCAGCCAGGGGGGTCCCTGAGAGCAGTGTTGTTTGAGTGTCGTTTCAGAGTTATAAACACCGCAGGAGCACGTAGAGCTGAGGGAAAAGTTCACGAGCAGAGGAGTTTATGTTGTAACCTAACTCCCTTGGCCGTCGCCGCTCATTCCATTGTCTGACACTTGCCTTGGCGAGAGCCACGGGGCCTCGTAAAACATGCATCCTGTGCATAACTTGTGTAAATCCAGCAGGACTTTAGTGGAGCAGTCACTGGAGAGTAATAGTCGACCCCGTCGGGCACCTGTGCTGTGATAACACTTTGTTCATCTGTCACAGTCAGGTTACTGACTGTTACTGGTTCTAAACAAATTTAGAACCTTCACATTTTTAACAAATTTTTGTTTTGTTTTTTTATGTTTAATATTTTAGCTATTGCTTTTTGTATTTTTGTATTTTTTTTTGGGGGGGGTAATTCAATTTAAGCACAAAATGCCATGCGCTACATCAAATGATTCCACTATTCAGCCATTAACCATTGCTCTAATAACTGAAATGGACTGAAGTTCCCATATTCGTCCCACAATGGGGAAATTCATAGTGTGAGTCTTTACAATGCACACAGGCTGCCACAGGAGGCGCCATTTACTCTGAAGGTCCTTCTGGGGCTCAAACCCAGAACGTTCTGCATGTAAAGCAGATGTATCAGCAAGCGTGATAACCACTACACTATGAAACCATTTACGTGTATGAATTCAGCAGACGCTTTTAACCAAAGCGACTTACAAGAGGAGGATTAGCGTTCAAGCTACGTAGAGGAGAAAGGAGACGGTGAAAGTGTCGAAGCGGCGAAGGAGATAGGAAGTCCAGGAAAATGCTAGGACAGGAGGTCCAGTTCTGGTGATGTTAGGTAGGTCAATCCACCAGGGTGGAACAAGCGATGAGAACAGCCTGTATTGTCAGGCTATCATTCTCTAGACAAGCAGAGTGGTCACGGGGTAACATAAGCCTTTGTCAGATCTCTTAAGGTGGTAGGAGCAGACCATTAAGTACTTTATAGGGTAGCATAAGGTACACACTTCGTGTATTCATTTAAGCCAAGCACCTCCAGCTTTCAGTTTTTTGTTATTTTTTAAACCATGTAGTTCTGATTATGAGGCTTGGGGCTAAACAGGAAGAAGAGAAGAGGGGAAAGGAAGAAGGTTATGATGATGATGATGATGATGATGATGACGATGAAGATGGTGGAGAGTTGACGTGAAACCAAAGCCCACATCTCAGCAGCCTGTCTTCACCCCCTCCGTCAACACCAGCGCTGCTTTGAACCCCATCCACTAACCTTTCTAATTTAAGACCTGCGGATGACCTGCTGCAGAGACACACACACACACACACAGACACACACACACACACACGGACGTTTGTCATGTGCTCTTTTTCTGCAGTACACAACCTACCTTTGCTTAAAAAAATGAAATATTCTCACCAGAAAACTAGGAAATAATATTGCAAATCAGTTCCAGTTCAATTTTTCTCGCTGTGGCCCAATATAAACAAATTTGAACTGCTGCCTAACTCCACACCCCTCCCCAAGGGCAGACACCCCTCACTCGGGAACATCTGAGGTCAGAGCCTTCCTTCACATGAGCTGTTACACACACACACACACACACATTTTTGTAGTGTATGCCACTTTGTAGCACGTATTTACTAAGATTTAAGACCTTATGTAATCAATTACATAGAAACCACTAGATTACAAACCCTTTTTCTGATTTCACTGGAGTGAATTTTATTGTCCACATGATTTCCTTTAGTCTGGACGTTGTGTTATTGCAGCGATTCCCAACCACTGCGCCGTGGCACGCTAGTGTACCGTAACAGATCATTTGACTTAATCTGGTCTGAAAAAATATTATTCACATATCGCAAATATTTTCTTGTTTTTCAATGGCACAAGCACAGCGATTAAATATTCGTCCACTAGGTGGAAGCAAATGGTTACGAAAACTATAAAAAAAAAGAGAATCCGAACTGTTTCTTCGATTCCTGTGAGTGTATCAGCGTTGTCTTCGACTAAACAGGCTGAGATTTTAGTGAATTGAGTATATTCGAACTATAAGGTATAAAGTTTTTTTTTTCTAATGAAAAATATGTGCAGCTGCACAAAAGACAAACAGTTAGCTTAAGTTAAGCTAATTGGTATTCACTGCACTTGATTTTCCATTGCCTATTATTATTATGGATGGATGGATGGGTGGGTGGATGGATGATAGATAGATGGATGGGTGGGTGAATAGATTGATGGAGGGATGGATGATGGATAGATGATGGATGGATGGATGGTGGATCGATGGATGTATGGTGGATATATGGATGGATGGATGGGTGAATGGATGGATGCATGGTAGATGGATGGATGGTGGATCGATGGATGTATGGTGGATATATGGATGGATGGATGGATGGGGGGGTGGATGGATGATAGATAGATGGATGGGGGGGGGGATGGATGATAGATAGATGGATGGGTGGGTGAATAGATTGATGGAGGGATGGATAGATAGATCCCAAAAGAACCAGAACAGATCTTTTGAGTCCACCCACTCTGACTGTTAATCCTGACAACTCACTGTACAGTTCATGCCCTCCTGTCAGTTCATTCCGTGCTTCA